GGGCCCCGGGCCGGTACGTGGTGACCCTGTGAGGCTCCGGCTCCGCGGTCGTCCGCCTGGTCGTGCCCGCCGGCAGCGCGGAGGCCTCAGGGGTGCTGGCTGTGTGCGCTGTTCCCGCAGCCGGCCGGGGCAGGGCCAGGCGGGGACAAAGGTGGCTGGTGAGGCCTGAGGGGCCGGCAGCGCCGTTCCCCGTGTGTGGGACGGCGTGCCTGAGGGTTTCGTTCCTCTGGAAGCGGTCTGGTGTGACTCAGGGTGCGGGGCAGAAATAGCTGGCCGCGAATCACCGCTGGCGGTGGCCATGGGAGCTGTCGGTGGGCGTAGCGCTAACGTGGTGTTTCTCTCCTGTTCGCCCAGGGCGTCTTCATGAATAACTTAAATGATCCTCCCAACTGGAACATCCTGCCGCATCACAGAGAGCCCAGGGATGAAGGCAGCAGGTGGAATTATGCCTTGCTGGTCCCCATGCTGGGTTTGGCTGCCTTCCGTAAGTAGCACAAATCTGCCCTGCTGGGGCGTTGTTGCGTTTGGGCGTCTGGCCGCAGTGAAAGCTCTGAACGGGAGCAAATCTCAGCAACAAAGCAGTGCCCCAGCTGGGGACTTCTGCTCTGTTCCCTGTCCCCGGAACCTGCCCGTTTTTGGGAATGTCACTGTAACAGCGCTTATAACATTGGGGCATTGGCCGTTTTTGACACATGGAGTTCAATCACTTTTAATAAACTTCAGAAAGATCTCTCATAACTAGTATGTTAGAGAGCCCCAGCGTAACAACCCCAGAGAGGTCGTGATGTATATCTGCTTACTGAACCTGAAAATTTCTCAGTGCAGTTTATGCATGAAAAACTTCCATCCTGTTTACCAATAATTCCTTTTTCCTTCATAAGTAAGTATATGTACTTGGAAAAAAAAAAAGTGTAATGGGTATGTTCAAACAAAACATGATCCTTGAAAGAGACCTCCTGTGAAGTGTGGACCTGCAGAAATACATTTTGTGGGATTGTGAACAGAAGTGAACATCATGGAACCATATAATAAATAAATAAATAGTGAGGGACCTCAGAGATCAGTTAGTTCTAACCCCCCTGACACAGGCAGAGTTGACAACCACTGAATTGTGCACTAGATCAGGTTGCCCAGGGTCCCATCCAACCTGGCCTTGAACTCCTGCAGGGATGGGACATTCACAGCTACCTGGGGCAGCCTGTTCCTTACTTCACCACCCTCTCTGTAAAAAATACCCCCTTGACATCTAATCTGAATCTCCCCTCTTTTAGTTTTAAACCCATTCCCTCCTATCCTATCAGTATCTACCCATGCAAAAACTTGATTGCCCTTATGCTTGTAAACTGCATTTACATATTGGAAGACTACTGTCACATTTCTCTTGAGCCTTCATCAAGCTGAACAAGCCCAGCTCCCTCAGCCTGTCTTCATAGTAGAGGTGCTCCAGCCCTCTGATCATTTATGTGGCCTCTTCTGGACCTGTTCCAGTAGCTTCACATCTTTCCTGAGCTGGGAGCCCCAGATTTGGAAGCAGTATTACACGTGGGCCCTCACAAGGGCAAAGCAGAGAGGAACAATCACTTCCATCACCCTGCTGGCCACTCCTCAGTGTTGCCAAATGGAGTGGGAGGGGGGAGGAAGGAATGTTTTCACCATTGAAACCTAAAGAGGTTTCTTTAGGGGCAAAATTAATTATCCATACCCATCAGTGCTGATCATTGTAGTCTCGTTTATGTGTTTTAGGCTGGATCTGGACCAGAGAATGTCAGAAAGAAATAGAAAGAGAAAAAAGAGAATATTATAAAAAGCAGTCGTCTTTACAAAAAGACCTGGAAGCCAAATACCGGGATATAATCACAGAAAATCGTCGTGCAGTTGCACATTTGGAGCTGGAGCTTGAAAAGGAACGCAATAGGACCCTGAGTTACCGTGAAGCCCTCGTGTCCCAGAGTCGCAAACTAGTGGAAGAAAGAAGGATCCTAGAGCAGGAGCAAGAGAAGTTAGAGAGAGAAAAAGAAGTTCTTTTGCACTCGGGAGCAGCAGGAACCTTGTACCAAAGCTGTTTGGCAAAGGAAGAGGAGTGGCAGAAGAGAGCCAACACTTTACTAAAAGAATTTGAAGATGGGCTTAAAGAAAGACAGGAAATCTACTGCAGTTTTGTAGTCCCTAAAAGCCAGAGACTAGAAATAGAGAAAAATCTGCTAGTTAAAGCAGCAACCGATCCGGTTGCTATGGCTTTACATATGGAAAGTGGCTTAAAAGATATTTTCAAACATGATAACTATTGTGGCAATCTGATGAACAAAAGCAGAAGTCAGAACGGAAGGCTGATGTGGCTGTATTTGAGATACTGGGAACTAGCTATTGAATTACAGAAGTTCAAAAGGGTAGAAAATGTAATGTTAGGAAAACGTTAGGGGAAATAATGGTGATTTATACAATCTACTATGAAGATGAGGGACAACCACAGCTATAGTCTGAAGCTGATAAGTTCTCTTTCTGCATTGCAGTTTCTGCTCTTCGTTGCATTTGTATCTGCATGGGACTTGCAGTGTTGTTTAACAACAGATGCTCCAGTGAGCTGTGCATGCTCTAAAACTGTGTTTGTGTATCTCTGTATTACACTGCAGTCTGCAGTACAAGCTTCAGTAGGTCTCAGAAGCAGCAAAAGAATTTGATTTAGAGTAATTTACCCAGGTCATAGTCCATCAACAAAGAAGTGGAATTTTTCTTCCTTAAGTAGATGATAATGTCATGCTCCTTATTCCTGATGTTCTGCACAGTGTCTCAACACTATCTTTCACTTTTCAGCAGACTTTGGAAGAAGCCATAATTGAGTAAGGTGCCTGTCACATAATGTGTGTGCATATATACATACATTTATAACAATATGTATGTATGTTTGTGTACATGTATATAAGAAAGGAATAGTATAATTATATTTCATATTAACCAGTCTTGCATTGTCTTCCAGACTTAAAATACAAACAGGACTTTATGAACATCCAAAAGATGGTAATTAGAATAACATGTAAAGAAATGATTGAAATCACATTGGAGTTGGGGAGACATGCTTGAACATTAAATAGTATGTAGACTTGCAGTTATATTCTCACCATACGTTATTCACGTTAAGAATACTTATGTTTTTTCTTTTCCTCAAAGTTTTAGTTGTAACTCAGCAGTGTGTCTCCATTATAGACATTGCTCTGCTGCTGCCTCTGCATCCCAGTGCACTTGGTACATTTTTAGCTTTCAGGAACCATGATAGTCATTGCACCTGGCTGTACTTCTTGTACAAGCATTCCCAGTTAGGAATGCAGCTGGGCACTGGTAGCCACCCTTTCCCTTCCTGACTGTCTCTGTGCTCCCAGACCTGAAGTGCACTGTTCCACAGCTCTTAAATTTTGAGCTTGCAGGTAACCCTTCATGTCCACATGGCTGGGAAAGCCTACAGATGTACAAACTTTGTAAAGATTTAAAAAGAAGGCATTTTACTTTTATTATCACAATACACAGATCTAGATTAAAAAATAAAACATTACATTTCCATGCTTGAAATCCCTTAAAGCTTTGTTCTTTAGCCAATGGAGAAAACAGGAACCACCTTCATTTTCAAAAGTGCCAGGTGTGTTGTAGTGTACCTCTTTTTCTTTCTCCCTTCTAATCCAGCCTGAGAGCCCAAATAGGAAGTGTTTACCTTTTTGTTTATAATGCCGATCTTCTTTGTTACTTGCCTTCAATTAGCATTGTTAAGTTGTTGGTTCTTTAGCATTTCTTTATTAACTGCCAAACGTTTGCTCTAGGCAATTAGCTGTCACATAGCCCAAAACCAATCCAGCTCAGTGAATGCCCATCCAAGTTTAACAGAGACCTCCAGCAGATGCAGTTTTCTCTTACTACTGCCTCTCGGTTGCATTTTAGTCAGGAACAAATGACAGAAGATAAATCTTCTGAAGTAACGTATACAACCTAATTCAGTTTCTCAGCAAAAATAACATGGAACAAAATTCTTAAACACGTTTGTTTCTCAAGTACTCTATTTTCCATCTGTCTTTTTGCTCACCGTTGTGATGTTACTCATTTTGTTGTACTAATTTGTTAGCTTCTTATGGGCTGTTCTTTTTTATTTTTAAATAAAGTTTAAATGATTAATCATGGGGAAAAAAAGACATACAATCACAGTCACTAGAAAGGCCAGAGGTTATCTGGATGCCAAGCTTATGCAGGTTGTACCATGAAAATGTGAGTTAGTAGTTTTGTGTAGCTGTTGTAGCTGACCACATGTGAATGCCTTAAGTGCCCAGTAGAACAGATCTGATTAAACAACTTACCTTGTGTATAATTCCTTCAGGATGTGTAAAGTGTGACCACACAACAGTCATGTTTCATGTGCACATCCAAGCAGTTACAGCAACACAGCTAGCAAACAGTAGACAGTGAATTGATGCCAATACATTCAAGCCTCATATCTTGACTTTGTACATCTTCACTAGTTTTAAATATTAAAAGTTGAGATGCTTTTTCAGTTTTTTTCATAGTTGTCCTTGACATCAACTCAAAATTAAAAAATGAAATCGAGAGGGTAAAATCCTTTTTTTCAGTATAAATGAATGAGTGGAAACTTCATGTGTTTGATCTTCAACCATGTGATGTTGGATATTCACTCTCCTTTATGAGTTATCAACTATTTCTACAACTAAGTGTGGAACTGCTGTTCGTGGATACTTTGCAGATCAATGTATTAAGAGTGTATTAAGATCAAGGAGTTTATTTCAGGAACATTTTTCCATGTGTGTAACTAGTTTAGAAGCATCAGTCCTCATGTTTCTTAGTTTGTTGTGGTTTTTTTTTTTTTTTGAAACATTCCCCTGTTGTAAACTGTTATTTTGAGAGATCTGTTGTGAACTGTCGCTCAGCAACTATTGTTCCAGATTAGCTATTTGTTTGAAAATGCCCATATACATATATGTAGAATGAAAGAAGAATTTGTTTTCAAATATTTAATGAAGGCTGTTTTTTATTTTTATTTTATGAAAATACCATTCATGTTAAACAAGGACAAACAAATAAAGGAAATCCTTACATCTTTCTTCACTGTTTTATTACTTGGGTGAGGTAGGTGGGAAGAGAGGAATTTGCTATTTTATGTCAACTTTCTAACACTTCACAATCTTAAGGTTCTGTAAATGCAGAAAGCTTTCTGCAGGTGTGCAGAAAGCATTTTTTTTGTTCTAAAGGAAAAGCATCATTAAATACACAAGAGCACCAATATTAACTGAAGATAAGTGATTACAGATGACCACCACACTGTGTGAAAATGAACAGATGCTGTCTAGATGTTTAGATATATTGCCTAACACCTGGTGTGAAGGATCTAGTGCACTACTAGGGATTTCCTTGAGCAGTTCATGGGGGAAGATCAAGGAACTGAGCAAACCATGCATCATTCTAAATTGTCAACAGAAACTGTTGCAGCCTATGAAAGACATAGGACTGCCTTTTGTTCATAGTTGTGTTTAATATGTAAGATGTAATGCCTATGTAGTTTAAGATAACATAACTGATGTGCAGACACTGTAGCATGACATAGGTCCACATGCCAATTGGATTGCAAGTATTCACCAGAACAGGTCTGGGGAGTCTTAGTCCATCTAGCTGAAGACACCATTGCAGGGATGTTTGCAACATCAGTATCCACACAGCAAGCCTGGTCTAGAAATAAATTTCCCCCATGAGCATTACTTTGCAAAGAAAAGCATTACTTATAAGTACCCCAGAAGTGCTAGCTATTGTAATGGATAGTAATGGGAGCTGCCAATCACCTGAAAGTAAATGCTGCCTCTGAAAACTGAACCTGAGGAAGACTGAGGAGAGCAGAGAGACCATGAGATGCACTGTGGTTGCAACTCATTGTCACACACCCTGAACAGCTCGTGCTCTGGGCTGATCCCACCAGAACTGGCCAACAGCTGCAAAACCTCTCCTTTTCCCCATCTTACAAGCACTCCTGCAGGTTTGTCTTTCCTGGACGCCTGACTTCTGAACAGGATTTACACAGCACAAACAAAATCCTCAGCTAAAGCAGTCGGTGCTTCATGTTATTAAGTGCTGACCCCCTCACGTGGCTAATCACACTTCTTGTCAGCAGCCTGAGCTGCAACCTCCTGTTTTTATAAACTCTCACTTTGTGGACAGATCTTTCTGCTCCAGGTGCACTTGGAGCATGATAATAAGAAAGATAAGAAGCAATGTGGTTTTTGTTGACCAAGACAGAATGAATTTTTCTACACCAAACCAGGTTTTAATCACAGACCTTTGTGTAAAGATGCCATGCAGGGCTGCAGTCCAGCAGCATCCTAGTATCTCATTGCATACCACAGCACCGGCACCACTAAAGTTTCCTGAATGGCCTGCCTGTGGAAATCATCATTAACATAATTAACACAATTAACGTAACACCCTACCTCTGTTATGTTCCCAACAGCCTGAAACGCAGTTTCAGTGAGCAATCTGTTGTTTCTCCTCTGTGGTTATACAAAATTACTTCTCTTCCATCCAGAAAAGTTTACAAATGCATTAGAAGAGATTTAGTCTCCAAAACATATTGAATTTCTCCAAAACCTTCAAGGTACGTGAACTTCTGTAGTACTGATGATGGCAGTGTGTGTGAGCACACACACAGGAATTCAGCCCTGACAGCTGAGGAGCTGTGCCTTTTGTCTGCTTACCACCTAGAGTTGGAGAACAACAGAGCATAAAACTTAGACCAAGTTAAAGATCTACAGAATATCTCTTGGTGTGGCAAACTCTATAACTACCTGCTGTTGAATATTACCCCTAAAACTAAGCGACTGAAACATTTTGCCTGTGTATCTTGTGTTCCGATGGGATTGTTACAGTCCCTTATGCTCAGGATTTTGAGTACCCTCAACTTGGGGATCAGTGCTCCTTCTATGTACATCTGGTGAAGGATTTTGCCCACTGTTAGCTCACAAAAGTATTCCTTATTTTCTCTGAATATTTTTTTACAGAAGGTCCAGACTTTGACAGTGACAAACTGTCAGAGCATTTTGTTTAACTTCCAAATGTTCTTCATCACTTGTATCTTCCCCATCTCACTCTTTCAAATAACAATCCTATGCCCTAGGCATCCTGCAGTACAGTTACCTCTCTCTTTATATTTTTGTCTTTTCCTGTTTGAGGCTCACCACACAACCTCTGCTTTGCTCAATCTTCCACTTCATTACCCTCAATATCTGAGTCAGGTTTTATTTTTGCCCCAGGTGATGGCAGCAGAAAGAGAAGGAGGAGCAGATGCTAAGCCACAATGCCTTGGCTCTCATTTTGGATACTTGCCACCACAGGAATATCTAGATGTGGAAAAAAGCTCTTCATAAATGATGTTTCTCCATCTTGAAGGTTTCTGTGCAGGAGGAGTAAGTATTGTGTTGTTTTGAAGGGAAGATGGTGAACATGCACAAGCATGTTCAAAGGAGATGAGACAGTATCAGTAGGGTCTTGGGAGAAATTGTACTGCTGGCAATCTCTTTTCTGAGAACTGCCAAAGATGTCTTCTAGAAACTTCCCATCTGTTCATGAATTGGGGCACTTCGAAAGAGAGAAGGAAAACATATTGCTAACAGTGGATACCTACAGGATAGCTCTGGAGCTCCAGAGCTCTGAAAATAATGCCGTGATTTACCACTGGAAGAATGGAAGAAGAACAGAAGGAAGTATTAAGTGAGGAACCGTATAATCAAAGAATATTAGGATGTTATAATCACAAAACAAACAAGAAAGTGAGGCAAAATAGACTACGATAACAAAAGAGAATAAATAGAAAGCTTACCCCTGTCATGGGCTCACCACAAAACACCAGCAGAGGCAATCTCCAGAAGAGATCCTTCCCTCGTAGCCAGCTCTTAAATAGGTCTAGGAGCACAGGAGAATTGCCTTCACCTGTGCTCCTCTGGCTGACTCATGGCTCACCTCAGGTGATCAATCAGAGGTTCAGGCCGTGACTCAGCAGTTCCCATACAGGAATCTACCATATTCTTGATTGTCTCTAAAATACAATCTTCACAGTAATGCAACTTCAATCTGTAATATGTAACCCATCAGCAGTCTATGACTCTTCGCCTCTTCACAGGCATGCACAGATCTGCATATTCTTTCCATGACACATATAGATTGATGTGACCAACAGTTAAATGACCAAAACTACACAAAAAGTAATGTGTATATGTATATGTTGCTTTGGGAAGTACAAGCTGACTGAAAAGAGTTTAATTAATACTGGTGGATAATGCTATAGAATCATGAAGTGATTTCGGGTTGGAGATTAGGAAGAATTTCTTCTAGGAAAAGTGGTCAGGCCCTGGAACAGGCTGCCCAGCAAGGTGGTGGAGTCACCTTCCCTGGAGGTGCTTAAGGAAAGGGTGGACGTAGCACAGATGGACATGGATAATGTGTAATATTGCTGGTAGGTGGATGGTTGGACAAGATGGTCTTAGAGGTCTTTTCCAACCTTAATGATTCCAGGATTTTATGATTCATACCAGTATTTGCTACAGTAATAAGAAAGGTCAGAAAATGAAATGCATTCTGATAGTATTGAATATTGTAAAGCAAAATTAGAGAGCAAACCTGGTGTGTATGATTTTTAGCTGCAATGCTCTGTAATCATCACTCTCAAAATATTTGAGGAGTTACAGACATCCTGTATCATATCAAGGACAATAGAATCACAAAGAAATAAACATTCTGTATTTAATTCCTGAAACTATGTCTGAATACAAACCTCTTACACTGCCCTCTGTTTCTCTCAGTGGCTTTGAAATAAAGGAATATTTGATTTTTGAAGAGCACACTTGCTTTCTTTTCCTGGTTATCCTTGTTGTCCACTCACTGCACCCATCCAGAAGGTGCCCTGGCTGGCGCCAGCAGTTTCTTCAGTTGATGGATTCAATTCATTCACAGAAGTGATGACAGTGTCCTCTCAGTGGGGATGGTTTTCTGCAGGATTAGTGAGTTGCGCTGTCCCAGGAGTGCCAACACCAAGTGAGACCTGAGAAGGTCAGAAGCAGGAGAAGCTGGCAGGTGGTCAACCAGGGAGGAGTATCAGAATGTATCTGCATCTCAGAATGAAGAAGGCCAACCAAAACCGTCTTGGGCTATGCCTACTGAAAATAGCCCTATGCCTTCACCAGACACACCGGCCCTTGCCAGGTTAACCAAAGGAGCTGAACATGTTGAGTGCTGCCAGGAGCCCTGTACATCATGCCTGGACCTGTCCCCACAGAAGGAAGCAGGCCACCCCTTCCTTACTGTTTTACTCATCTCTATCCATGGTATCATTCTTCTACTTTCCTCTCTTACATTTTCCTGAGGTCTTCATTGTCCTGCAAGGTGAAAGACATATTCCAGCTGGATATCAGGAAAAGGTTCTTCACCAGGGGGTGGTGGCATGGCACAGGCCGCCGGGGCAGTGGTCATGGCCACATGTTGCTGGATTTCTGAAGTATATGGATAACACTCTCAGCTATCTGGTCTCATTTTTGGGTAGTGCTGTGGGGAGCCAGGAGTTGGACTCGGTGATTCTTGTGGGTTCCTTTCAACTTTGGATATTCTGCAATTCTATGATCTAAGAAAAGTCCTGCATAACTCTAAGGAGAAGTTAATTGCAGAGCAAAAGAAAAGGCCCTGTTGAATAAGCAAATAACTGTGCATCTCTGGCTCTGTGCGGCAGTGCACAGCCTGGTGCTGCAGTCAGTATGAGTTGAGAAAAGCTTGTCCTACAACACGCCGGGGAATAAGCCATTGCTGCAAGTGCATTCGATGCACGGTACGTTGTTTGCTCCAATCCACAGGGTGGCAATGTAGGCAGCCCCTTGGCCAGCTGCAGCTGGTGGCAGTGCTGCTGCAGGTCCTGCGCAGAGGCACAGTGCTGCCGAGACACACCGTTAGCTGTGCATCAATAAAGTCGAGCTAGATGCTGTACCAGCAGATCTGCTTCTGCACATGTTTAACAACTTAAAAGCCGCTGGAGCCTGGCATTACCAAAGTAAGAGAAACTCTGAAATGTATTCTTGGATCCTGATGCAAATTGAAACTTAGAGAGAAATTTGCATATCACCTGAACATTCCACATCATTTATTTCATATCATGTCAGTTAACCCTCCAGTAATTTGGTTCCCAATGGAAGATAAGATTATTCCTGCTATCATATATTCATAGAATCATAGAATTGCTCAGGTTGGAAAAGACCTTAAAGATCATTGAGTTCAACCACAACCTAACCATACTACCCTAACTCTAACAACCCTCCGCTAAATCATGTCCCTGAGCACCACATCCAAATGGTTTTTAAACACATCCAGGGATGGTGACTCAACCACCTCCCTGGGGGGCCTATTCCAGTGCTTAACAACCTATATCAGCTTGCATGGCACTGAAGGAGAACTATGGTATTTTAGCATTAATAAATTCCATACAGAATCTCGATTACCAAGGATTTATGATTATATAGCATCATTAACATGTAGCTATGATAGAAATTGTTTGGACACCATATTATCATAACCAGATTCAGATACTGAAAAAGGTTCTATGTATGACTTCACAAAGTCTAGAACTAAACGCTACAAGCCAGAGAAATTAGAAATATAAATCAGGAGATGTTTGATTTTCCTGACTGCCTTTTGTCTATTGTTTATTACTATCTCATATTTCCTACAGTGTGAATGCTGGGATCATCTCCTGATTCGAACTGAATAATAACCCAGGATGAGCATGCAGTTTCTTACTCCTTTTCCAAAAGGTCAGTGTTCTTCTCTGACTCTGGAAATACAGGTGCTGCAGTTTGGAAGTTCTCTATTCTCACTTTTAAGTGAAAACTACTTCTTCTGTACAAGGGAAGCACAGTAAAGAGTCGTTTTGGATATCTGTGAAGCAGTTGCTACTTTACCACAGCTGTGTATTAGCTGAACTAAATTGGAGATATAAAGTGAATAAAGAAAGAAGTAAATATCTGATGATGGCCAAAAGCAGAAATGATCGTCTAGGGGAATGTTACTGGTGCATTTGCTCAAGCTGAGAAACAGACCTTTTGTCACTCTTCTACTAATGACCAAGGACAAGAGTAGTAGCATGTTAGTGAAATGTCCATGACACAAGCTCAGAAGTATCAAAAATACCGGGAAAAGTAGAGTATCATTCAGGCAGAACTCAGTGTACTGGAGTTGCATGAAGTGGGCTAAATTTAAAATATATTTGGGTAACTTAGAAAAAGGTATTCTGCTGCAGGTTAGGAACCACATAAGGAGAAGAAAAGCTTTGATCCAGTGGTAATCAGGAGACAGATAATCTGCAAAACTGACGAAGTCATGAAAAAGGCAAATGATATCACTAGGAAGATGATAGAGATATTTCAAGTAAAGGTAAGGAAATACTTGTGTCTGATTACAAGGCACAGGAAAACTCCTGGGCTGCTGTATATGGTTTTACTTTTTCATGTCAAGGATGAAGATTATTTTTTGTAATTTCTCTATTTGAGATACAGTGGAGAACCCTTTTGCATATAAGAAACTAATCACCTTGCTATATATAGCCTAGCAAAAGTAAAACTGAGGATGTTCAAATGCAGGAATCAGCTCTGTGCTGACCTATGGCTGTCATAAGTACAAATGAAAAGGAGATGGACTCATATGTAATATGACTGGAAATTAGTTTTTTTATAAAAAAAAGAAATAGAGACAAGTTCACTTCTCTAAAGCAGAAAGCAGGCATAAGAATGCTGAAATTCTAGATCAGTCTTTAAGTAACAGGGAATAAAATCAATTTTAATCGACATGTTGCAAGGGGGTGTATTTGTTTGCTTTGGAAGGGACTGGACATAGAAGATCCCTTCTAGTTCTTTATACTGATCACCCTGTAAGTCTTAGCTGACAAAATTCTCACGACATAAATTATGTTAGATATTGTAAGTATTTTCTGAAGCAACTACTTACCTACTGATAATAGTGAAGAACAGAGCTGTGCTGTTGTGATTGTACTGAGAAGATGAGGAACCCAAGTGGTATCTGTGATATTCATTAGCCAGTGTTTCTCTTTTCCTTCTGACCATCATAGGGCCATTGAAAAGGTGAAGGGACCTTTGATTCCTGTCCATTTACAAGATGTTCTAAACTAGTTGTAAGGGTAAGTAGATAATGCTTATAATTGTAAATTTTATAATCCCTTTTGTTCTCCATCCTTTCTGTCTGAGCATTTAACAGAATACCTCTTGCAGAGAAAGAAGAAGATGCTTCAGTAGTTAGCATATTCTGTGGGAAACTGAATGGAATGATGATTCACAAGTTTATATTCACAATAAAAAAAAAAAAAAAAAAAAAAAACGATGAAGCCTCCACTGCCTTACAAGGCCAGTGGAATCACTTTACTTCATATCTGTTGGGGTTATACATGTATTTAAGTGAGTTTAAACAGGGGAGTGGCAATGACCTTATAGGTGATTACAGTTTATAGCCAAATTATCTCCTGAATTACATTAACTGAAATCAATGCCTTATACCAGATGAACAGACTGTTCCATAAAACCTTGGCAGATAAAGCATTAATAAGTGTTGGAGCTGACTTGGTCAATTGGATGATTTGCTGACGCTTCTTTTTACCACAGCTCTGCAGTTTCAAGTTTAGTGCCAAAGGTTCACTACATATAGCTGAAGACAGCAAATAGATGGTCTCTTTTTGTGCAGATTTCTAACTAGCTGCCTGTTTCACAAACTCCTTGCTG